CCTGCCATCTCAGAGTAAAATTAAAGATCAGTCGCATCGAATGGAATCGTCTTTCTACAAACACTGACCGCTGGGCGTCTCTGACGTCCGCTCCTCCTGCAGCGTCTTAACGCCTCCACACGTCTTCTCTTTGACACTTTGCTGCAGCTGCTGGACCAGCAGGTGGCGGGCTACTTCTTCAGAGTGAAGTCGAGCCTGAAACTCGCAAACTTTGTCCTGTAGGGTCTGAAAACACACGAGAAGCACAAATCAATCAGCGGCAACAGTTATCCAGGCTGTGCAACCGATTCTTAATTTTAACATGTTTCTAGAAGCTCACAACAACGTCTACACGCTCACTACGACCTCTTCCTGTCAGAGACAGGACTACAGTGAGCAACAAGGACAGTGAAGGTTTTTACGTTGGCAGGAGTCCACCAGCACGACCAGGTGACCCTCTGCAGATGAAGACGGCATGAAAAACAAAAACGGAGGGAATGATGGACGAACAAGAAAACCAGAAATCTGACAGGTGGAAGACAAAGAATAAAAGTGAACATCTTTTATAGTCTGGGCCTCCAAGCCTCATTTGTCAGTCTGCAAACGTTTGCATGTCGCCAGCGTCACCTGACGGAGCAACAACACTCAGAGAGCGTCAGCAGTCGTGTCACAGATGTGACGAGCAGGACAGGAAGCGTCCCCGAGGCGTAAACACAGAGGCTCGGTCAGCTGAACGTTGTCACTTTATGCTGATGTCAGCTGCGAGTCAGCGCCGTCGCTGCAGGCATGCCGCCGTGCAGCATGAAGTGAGCGCGCTCAGTCGAGCCTCAGTTTATGCTTTTACGGTCGTTTCAAGTCTCCTGATTAGTCGATTGTCTGTGCTGGTCGTTTACCTGGATAATCAGCTGCTGGCTGGTCGCGCTCGTTTCACTGAGCTCGGCGGTCAGAGAGGGGCGCTGCGAGAAGGCGGTGCTTGGCAGAGAAAGGAAGGAGCCGTCGTCTTCACCATCACTCATCAGGAAGTCCACTGAGCTCGCTGCGGAGACACGGGAGACACAGCTTAGTTATATGACGTCACGTGTTACTCAGCATCATTTC